TTAATTTTTTAATTACCAAAAATTTCAAACTAATACATTTATAATAAATTTACCTCAAATTAATTTTTTGATTACTAAAAACCTTAAACTAGTACACCTGTGATAAATTTACCCTCCGTTAAATTAGATTAATACCACGAAAAATCATAAACTGATACACATGTGACAAACGGATAGTAAAATCCCAAACTTGTACACCCATTAACAACCACTTGTCATCCAACTCAGAAATTTAACAATAAAATTTAACAGAAACTATCGGAAAGTAAAATTATCGTAAGTGTACATGTTTAGGGTTTTTTGTGGTAAAAAAATTAGTTTAGAGTAAATTTATCATAAATATACCAATTTACGATTTTTCGTGATATTAAACCTTCATTTATCACAAGTTACTTCACAAAATTATGCGGCATCATACATTTCTGGGGTCGATAATTGCTGAAAGCACGAGACCCAAGACAAAGTCCCTTCATTTAATTATCCAGCAATTACATGCTACATTTTCTAGCAAGCATAGTTCACCATATCTTTTCCAAAAAAACATGTCATACATCACCAATATATAGGAAATTTTACATAAGCAGCCTCACCCATTCACGATTTGAAGATTATAACTACCAACTCTTTCCAATAAATGGTGTACGCAGCTGCTTGTATAAAATTTTGTTTACACTAGCTGTATATGCTATAAATACTCTATATTTTCTATTATCTTGCAATTATGTATATTTACAACAAGGATACTTGTGCAAAAAAAAATTATTGTTGTACATCATAATAACATTACTGTCATAATATTATTTGACAGATAAAATGGGAGGAAAGGGTTACCAGCATTGATGACTCCCTCTAAGCGTTACCTTAAGAGATCCATACACGCAATATAATGCTCCGTTTGAAATGCTACTAATTTGAGCAAATCTGTCACCTGACGCTTACCATAATATGTGAGAGTATAATCGAGATAATCCTATATCATGGCATAGTCGAACATACGCAACAAACGAATTAAGGTTTCCTAAGGTCGAGAAGCAACTAAAAAGTTTCAAACATGTTATCAGGGTGTCTTGAGAGGTCAGAAAATACTAAGAAGTAATCCTTAGCCAAATTGTGATAACTCCTATTTTTCATTTTACTTCGTCTTGCATTTTTTGATAAAACTATTCCTATATGAGTAATGCTATATGTACTAAGAAATCATATTAAAAATTTTATAATAAATAATATGGCAATTTTTTTATTAGTTTCTTAAACAAGCCAGTCATTTAAAGAATAGATCCCACTTGTTTGAACGCTCAACTGAAATTTCCATATCACTTATGAAAAAAGTTTTAGTAGGATTTCTTTATACATATTGAATTTCTTACACTATATACGCTTGTTTATTCTTAGATACAAGATAGCGCAAAGTTTGATACGCAGCCTTAATATCATAGCCGTGTAATTGTATCAATCTTCAGTGTACTGTGACCATCCTTTTCACTAGCACAATGACTATGGGCGCATTGCCCTTCATATGTAAACTGTCTTTTGCACCAGCAATTGAATAATAATCCTTTTCATATTGGCTTCTTTATTTTGTATTGCATTTCTTTATATTGCCCTTCATAGTTCACTATTTATTTTTCGAAATTTAGATTGTACACCACCGGTATAAAAAAAGTTTTACATAAGCAGTCTCATCCATTCTTGAGTTGAGGATTATCACTATCCCCTCTATTATAGACATGCAACTATACTAAATTAATCTAGCATTTTCAATTTTCCAAGATTCAAACAATATAAAACCCATAGAAGTAGTACAACTCGACAAGACCTCATTGACATAAAATCATGAATAGATATCCCCGGTATTGCGAAAGTCACCATCATCTTTTTTTGGGTGCCGATTCACGTCATTGTGAAAGGTCCTCCTCCGGAATGATCAACACAGAATCCCACAATCTCTCCTTTCTTTGCTTTTTCTCTCGCATTGTCTTCCCGCGAGACATTATGTGAGTCACCCGGAGTTGGGCCCGATGGTTTTAGTGTGGATCCAAGCCACACTTGCATGAACCGGATGCACAAAATTCCAGTGAATTTCAACAGTCGGACGATGCCGGTCTCACATGGTGCCCCGTGAATCGACGTTGGAGATCCACTAGGCTCATATACATGCAAAGCATGCTTAACGTTTTCTTGGTTGCGGGTTGGGCCAACTAGGTCCGAAGCTAGCATAAAAATGAAAAGACTACTTTACATGTTAGGTACTTTTCTATGTTTTAACTTTTGTTGTGCAACACATGTTAGCTTTGTTTGGTCTCGATAGATGGGCGTAATGGATTTGCATCTAACAGCAAAAGTGATAGTCGAGGGCGAGGGCGACCCTTGCCGGCGTCGGGCAAGAGTCGCCCTCGCCCAACCCCAGTGCCGGCTAGGGCCGCCCTCGCCGGCTTCCCTCTGCCATGGCCGGCGGAGGGAAAAGAGAAGAAACGAAAAAAAGAAGAAGGAAAAAGACGAAAATGTTCATGGGCCAAAGTATTGTGGGGTAAATGTATCACAAGTGGCATAGTTTGAGATTTTTCGTGTCACAAAAAAAAAGTTCAGGGTAAATTTATCACAAATGACATAGTTTGAGCTTTTTCGTGTCACAAAAAAAAGTTCAGGGTAAATTTATCACAAATGACATAGTTTGAGATTTTTAATGGTATTTTCCCTAATTCAAAAGTATTTCAATTCGCTTGTCTCTAAATCTTGACTTTAAAGAAAAAAGTATCAATTTTATGGAATAACTTTGATTGTTTTGTTTTGATCTATAATTTAATAATTAAAATTATTAATAAGAAATTTGACAAAAACAAATGTTGTTTCCAACTAGCACAAGGAACACCCTTGAACAGATTAGGACTAGCAATTTTTAACACGACCTATTTACACAGCTTGTTTGCATGACAATAGTTAAGTGTGTCCGTATCAAGTTTAAACTGGTTCGTGTCGTTAACGGGTCAATCGATTTATACACGAATTACAGTGGATGACATTGACAACTCGAATTAAGCATTCGCAATGTTAGTGGATGATATTTACGAATCAAACCGAATATTACATGTGGGAGACTTATGGTCATCTATATAGAGGGTGCTTGCACTACTGCTCGTTCCCATTCTTTTATCCATAAAAGAAATCAAACAAGTAACTTTTCCAAGGAGCATGTTTTACTTTTGATACAGTAGACATATCTTATTAGGTTCAAATTAATTCGAGATTCTATGTCGATTTGTGCCAATTATGTGAGGTCTAAAAAAAAGACAAAAAAGATGGGAAATCAAGGATCTCTTGTACTTCAATTTGTCATGCAGAAAAAATGTTTATGAAGATGAATATATGTGAAGCATAGGGAAGACAGCTATAAATTTTGTTAAAGTGCTCTTTATGTAGAGTTTATCTTTTATATGTAATTAGTCATTGACATTTGCGATCGTAACAGCAAGACTATTTTCGGTCATTCCCCAAAAGTTTTGGAAAATTACCAATTCAGTTCTAAATTTATTGTAAGGATGTCAATTCAATCTTAAATTATTTTATTTTTGCCAATACAGTCCTAAACATTTGTACAAAATTTCAACGTAGTCCTTCCGATCAATTATCGCAGGAAATTACTGACGTAGCTTCTCACGTAGAACCTCATTTCGGGTAAAATTGTCCACGTCAACATATCACTTACGACAATGATTGGACATCAGCAATTTCCAATGACAATTGGCTGAAATAACTATATTGAAATTTTGAGAAAATAGTTTGGTCTAATTGGAAAAAAGTTTGGGACTGAATTAATATCCGTGTAATAAGTTAAAAATTGATTTGGTAATTATCTCCAAAATATGAAAGCGCCATAGTAACGGTGCTGTCTCCACCACGTAATTTTTCAAGGAAATCGGGAGACTTGTTTGTCCGGTTTCCTAGGAATTTGATAATCTCCCTTAATTGGATATTTCTTGATGGAAAATCCCACTGAGTTCTGTATTTTAAATTTTTTCTTTTGAAAACAAGGAAAAATCGAAAATAAAGGAAATAATCGCAATTTTGATACTTAGAAGTATGAAATGTTTGTTCAGATTCCGTGTCATAGATTAACTTCATTATTTTCTCTAGTATCAATCTTCCGATTGAACTTAAAATCTTACATTCTGAGAAACTGTACATTGAATATGATCAAAAGCTCTATTTAAATTTTTGTCTTGTACAGATTTTGATTTTTTTGTGATCTTATACCGGTGATGGCCACAAAAACGAACTGTACAAGATTTTTCTTTGCTATTTTCCTTTTGTACGAGTTTAGAATTGTAATACCATCTTAAACATAACTCTAATAAATTGTTTAAATCCCCTCATAATTCTAGGGTCATCTTAGTGTCGCCTTGAGTTTGATTAACCTTTCAAGCCGCCCGGCCATTCTCCTATAGTGAAATGTGCGGCTGATACGTGACCGTTATTTTACAACATAAAGACTACTGTTATGCTAGTAGCGCCCTAAAATTTTATAGTAGATGATGTGGCAATATCTTATTGGCTTCTAACAAGCCAGACATCTAAAAAATAGACCTCTTGTTTGAACGTTCAATTAAAAGTTATCATATCACTTAGTAAAAAAAGTTTTCTTAGGAGTTCTTAATACATCTAAAGTTTCTCATTACTATGTAGGCTTGTATCTTCTTAGATACAAGATAGAGCAAGGTTTGCTAAGCAGCCTTAAACGTCACGATCATGTATGTATTCATTTTCGTATACTGTGACCATCCTTTTCCCTTCGGCAAGGACCAAGGGCGCTTTAACCTTTGTGTGTAAAATCTTTGTATATCTTCCTTTTCTTTTTTTCTAATTCTGTCTTCCATTTCTTGATATATGCAATCGGGTCCTTCCAATTTGTTCTATTGACACAATTTGCCCTTCTTGCGTCCCTCCATTATTGTACTTAATTTGACCAATTCGTCGATGTGAATATAATGGGCGGGTGAGAACGGCTCCCACCCTATAAACAAGGACAGAAGAACAAAGGTCCCAAAACGGAAAAAAATACGTGAGAGTTGAGTTTGAGAGAGTTTTTTCGAAATGAAGGTAGTGCATTGGCTTCTGATGGTGGCCGTGGCCTGGTGGTTGCGACAAGGGGGCGCTCCCCAGGTGCCCAGAAGCTGCGAATACCAGTGTGGGGCCGTGCCCGTACCTTTTCCGTTCGGGCTTGAAACCGATTGTGCGAGGTCCTCAGATTTTTTGCTCAATTGCACCAACACCGAAGGGAGCGGTATTCAACTACAGTGGGGGAATCTTACGATACGCAAAATCTCGACCGGGGACTCGACCATGGTCATCAGCCGCCCCGAAGTATACGAGTGCTACGATCAGAAAGGCAAGCCAGCAAACAATAGCGGTCCTCTGGTCATCGATCTATCTTCAAATCCTCTGTACAGATTGTCGGACTCCCAGATAAAGCTCATCGTCCTCGGCTGCGCCATCAGCGCGTCCGTGGGCGACAGAGAAGGGACGTTCAGGAGCGAGTGCAGCTCCTCCTGCAGCGACACCGTTGGCTTGTCCAAGGAGACCACTTGCTCCGGTGTTCGAGGTTGCTGTCAAGCATCCATCCCAGGGGGGCTCAAGTCGCTCAACATTAGCATCTCCTCCGTCAACAAGAACGTGTCGGCCTCGCCAATCAACAGCTGTGCACTGGCCTTCGTGGTGGACAACAGGTTGTTCAATGTCTCAGACCGGACGACGCACCCGATGCTCGAGGATGTGGGCAAGAGCCCGGGCCTTGTTCTGGACTGGATGGTCGAACCGAACGTCAATTGCGGAAAGGCCATTATGAACAAGTTGAGCTATCCCTGTGGTAAGAATACGGATTGTGAGGACTTGGAGAATGGACCGGGTTATCGTTGCGTTTGCCAGCATGGGTACTATGGGAATCCCTACACTCCCCACAAAGGGTGTAAAGGTAATTTAACTTATACGACTCCCCATGCATTATCGCACTCAAATGAATTGTGGTGATGGAGAAGTACAGTATCTACCTACTTCCATCTAGCTTTTACCCATTTGATTAGCCCCGTTTGATTTGTCTCTCTCCTCAACCTCTTCCTCCACTCTCCGGCTTGCACCTCACGCCATTGCCGCTGCCACCGTCATCCACCCACCACCTTAGGTGAGCCCGCCATCGGCCTTCACGCGGCGTCAGACCACCACAGCCGCCTCTCTCTCTCTCTCTCTCTCTCTCTCCCCGTCGTATTTAGTAATGCATATGCATATTAGTACATCCACCTCAATCATAAAACAGTGGCTCATATTAATAAATGTATGTATGCATGTCAAGTTCAATGTCCTCCTTCCGAGGCTCAATCGTCGTACCCAATGTCCATTATCTAATATGGCAACAATAAAACCTCGCCTCGCTCTTGCAACACAGGGTTCATGCATCGTTGCTATACCAATACACACTCCCTTTCGTCCACCAACAACAGCACCTCTACTTCAGAGATGACAACAAGTGCCACCACCACTACAAGCAACGACGTCTCTCTCCCTCTCTCCCCGTCTTCATGAGTCTGAATTGTACCTCATCTCGGCAGTAACATGTCCCTGGTACCATCTCCGCAATGAAGGAGATGAAATTTGTTTGGATGAATGAAGAAGACGAAATTGGGGAAAATTGCCCCAAAAGTTCTAAACATGTTGTACTTTTATCAATTCAGTTATAAATCTTTTAATTGTGCCAATTGAATCTTAAACCTTTTCACTTTTTGCCAAGTGAGTCCATCCAGCTAATTTTGGCTGGAAATCGCTAACGTGGATACCAACTGTCTTATGTTGTTTCGTCGGCGCTAAAGTGGATAATTTTTAATAATATTTTAGTATTTTTTAAATTTTTAATTTTTTTTTCTGCCCTTCCTCTTTTGGCCGGTCCGACAATTGGTCAAAGGCAAGGGTCAGCAAGGTCGACCTCGCCGGCCTCTAGCAAAGCTCGCCCCTGCTAGCCACTAGTGAAGCCGACCTCGCCGTCGCTGGGATCTCCCTCGCCCACTGACGGCGAGGTTGGCCTCGCCTTGGTTGGGCAAAGATCAACCTTTGCCACCTAGGTTCAGGCAAGGCTCACCCTCACCAATGGCCAGCTAGGTCGACCTCACCAGCCCTTGCCTTTGGCCGATTGCCAGATGACCAGAGGAAGAAGGGCATAAAAAAAAGAAAGAGAAAAAATCTTTAAAAAATCTAAAGATATTATTAAAAATTGTTCTCGTTAATGCCGGCAATGTCATGTATGATGATCAGTGTTCACGTCAGCGATTTCCGATCAAAATTGACCAGATGGATTCAATTAGTAAAAAGTAAAAAGTTAAACGACTCAAATGGCACAATTAAAAGGTTCAAAATTGAATTGGCAAAAATGCAATAGGTTTATGACTTTTTGGATAATTTTTCCAACAAATTGCAAACACCTTTCATCAAGAGAGATGAGGCAATGGTACATGGTGGTGCGGTCGTGACCTTAACTCATCTGAACATCAATCTCGACAGTGGCAGGGTTCGCCATGCGATGGTCACAATGACTGCAACATTTGCAGCATGGCTGGGCCGCAGTGGTAGTGGAGGATGTGTTGGGTTGAGGGGAAGCTGATAGGGGGAAGACAAAGTATGTTTTTCCTCATTTATTTGCTGTGTACTACCACAAGATATAATTCTAATGGGAGGCCTAGATCCAAATCCATCTCCGGAAATGATCCTGTGAAGTCCACGTGGAACTAGCATGATCAGTGATTATGATAGACTCGGTTGAGTAAATCTGGGATTAGCAAAATCTTTTCTTGAAGTTCCAACTTTTTGCCTAATAGAATAAGTCAAGGTTACTGCCACCACCCTACCAACATCACCGTCAACATTTCTAGCGACTCTATTCCCATGTTACATCTACAATTTTGCCTTCTCTCTCAAACCTTGTGCCTCCTCTCCTATATACACATATAATGAACGTGGTAGGCGTACTATAATGCATCTAAAGGGTTAAATCTAACGAGTCCATCGTATTTAATGATACATATGCATATTAGCACATCCACCTCACTCATAGAATAATAGCTCATATTTATAATTTTATGTACGCATGTAAAGATCAGTCTCCTCCTTCCTAGGCTCAGTCGTCATCCCCAATGACCATATATAACCCCTCACTTGGCTCTTGCAACGTAGGGTTCATGCATTATTGCAAAAGCTCGATTTCCGCGAGTTTTGTTAGCAGGATCCTTTCCTAGCTAGTGTGCCTTCAACGGGTCTCGTATATAGAGTTCGAGGCAGCGTCACTCTCCATCGATGGCAAAGAACAACGCCATTGATGAGCTCGGATTCGATGTGGAGGTAGACAGAGTAGAGAAAGAAGAGATGTCTTAAGAGAGAAGGGACACATGTCACAGTCTTATAACTGAACCTAAATGGGATAGCATTATCTGTCTAATAATTCATGCACAGACTTGTTCAATTTGTTTTTACCATTAACCGAGATAACTGTTCAATTTCTCTTCTGCAAAATGTAGACATCGATGAGTGCAAGGACCCAGAAAAATACCAATGTCATGGAAAGTGCAAAAATACTCCCGGGAGCTACACATGCCATTGCCCATTTGGAATGCAGGGCAATGCTAAAGACATTTGCCATATTTCTCCTTGGGTCGGACTTGTTCCAGGTAATTCTATATATATCCGCTCATCATACACTGGATGGTTCATATTCTATCGATTCATTCTTGATTATTCAGTAGGTTTGACGTATATGTTTTATGGATTATTATACCGTTCGTAGTAGGTGTAATCCCCGGTAACACAAGCAATGAGCCACAAGCTGCCACATATCCCAATTCAAGCCCAGGCTAACAACGATTACATCTTTCATTTGTTTTTCTTGGACCTCCCTTTTTCCCCTTTTTTTCTGAGGCTAACACTTTGAAACAACATTCGAGGGAGGATACACAGCATATCTAAGTCAAAATGTCTGCTCCAACCAAACCTACAAATCTTGGGCCAAAACGAACAACTAGAGCTTCTTATTTTAAGGGGAAAACCCCCCTAATGATGGTATAATTTCGAGAATTTCTTTCTTCTAAAATCTCGTGAGTTGCTGAAATAATAATGGCCCATAAGCATTAGCTGGACACGAAGGCCAAACGCATTGCTTGAACTTGCGCAGAAGGATCACCTCAGAGATTGATGAAGCTCAGTTTTTGTCGGGGATATTTGATTGCTGATGAAGATATAGCAGTAGTTTATAATTCTTTGATACTTTGATGCGTGATGATGATCACTGTCCTTAAGCTATTATTTGCCCCCATTATTATTGCTACTGGGTTTAGAATATATATACCTCCACGATATGCACCAAAGTCACAGAGAAATGGGTTCAGCTATTACTCAATTTCTCTCTCGAAATTTCACATTAAATGTGTTGTCAAACTTGTTTGTGAAAAGAGAGGAAGAGAGAATGTTGTGAAGAAGAGAGCGTTGTTATTATGAACATTTGTGATAAACAATATATGATTGGTCCTATTTACATATAACCAATCAACACATCTCTTGGGAATAGGCACCTTATTCCCACCATCACCACTTTCACGATCAATCATCACTTCTTTTCACGTTAACAATCACTTCTTTTCATATCCAACAATCACCTATTTTCATGTCCAACAATCACCTCTTTTTGTAATAACAAACATTTTAAGAAACCCCCACTTAGTTTGTTATCAGTACTAATGTACATAAATTCAAACATCCAAGAAGGTATCAGTTATGATTTAAGCCTTCAATTAGTGTAAATAATTATATTTACGAAATCAGTTGTAGATAAAACTTTGAACCATAATTGTACTTGTTAATCGAATTATCACATATATGAATTTACACACATTTGGTTAGAATTTCCTATGCCTTAGCACTTTTATGGCCTTGTGCTTCCTCCTTCATTGATAAACATTTCCAAAAATTCATCCGACTTTTGTTAGAAGCGACACCACTTCATATATTCATATAGGTTAAGTTCCTAACTTATAACCTTGAACTTAATTAAGAATATTTTTTTTACGCTTATCTTCCTAACTTTCCATGAGTACTAACCTTGTGCCCCAGTACTCGATCATTGTCAAGATACAATAACTTGTTTTTACCCACTGAACTTTGACAATTTCGTTGGAAATTGTAAAGTTAGGTTTCCACTATGCTTGACTATTATCGATTGGTCTAAGATCCATTCCTTTGGCAGTGTACTGCTAACTCAACCTCTCAAGAGTCCTTTAGTGACTGGATCCACCAAGTTATTATTTGTCTGAACATAAGTTGTTGAAATAATTTCATCAGTAGTTAATTGTCGAACATGCTCATGTCGCAAGCCAATGTCTAGATTTCCCATTGTATATCATATTATGTGCCTTAGACATTGTCGCCTCACTATCGCAATGTAAAGATATGGCTACCATTGGTTGTGACCACAACTCTTTATCCAATAGCAAATTCCATAGCCATTCACCCTCTTTACCAACTGCCGATAGTGATATAAATTTAATTTCCATCATTGAATGAGCTATACAGGTTTGTTTCTTTGATGCCCACAAAACTGCAATATTTGCAAGCTTGAAAACCCATCCATATGTTGATTTGTTATCAATTGTGCTAGTTATTCTACTAGCATATGAATATCCTTCTAGTGCTGCTAGTTGTCGTTCATAAGATAGACCAGAATGTATTGTTTTCTTTAAATAATCAAGAGTTCTACTTATGGCCTTCCAATATATAATACTAGGATTATCGGTAAATCTAGACGATTTACACACAATAAAGGCTATATCCAATATAGTGCAATGGATAGCATACATCAGACTTCTAATTGCACTGGCATATTCTAATTGTGCTGAAGGTTGCTCATATTTCCATCAATTTAATTGAAACATCATATGGTACGTTTAACTCTTGATATTTTATGAATAATTTTCTCCACATAGTGGCCTTGACTTAAAGCATAACCCCCACTATATTTGATCACTTTGATACCTAAAATTGTATCCACTTCTCCCAAATCTTTCATTTTAAACTAAGAAGATAAATATTTTTTTGTTTCATCTATTCCATACATATTTGTGCCAACAATCAACGTATCATCTACATATAAGCATATTATAACTCCATAATCTTTGGTAAACTTTGAATAAATGCACTTATCAGCATTGCTTAAATCCATATGATAATACCACCGAATCAAATTTTCCATATCATTGTTTTGATGCTTTCTTTGTCTCTGCTCATATTGTCATACTCAACAAAATGCACATTATTTACAACTTTTTTCACATAATTACCCTCACGATCACGAGAACCTTCCTCGATTTGAATGTGTTTTATCAAATTATCCACAATCAAGTTCTCAATCGTGTGAAGAAGTTTCTTTCAATAATCATTCTAAGTTGAAAGCAATTTTGAAATAATTGCAGTAACTTGAAGAGGTTCAAAACTTCAATCATAAGGTCTTTAAGTTTGACAACATATCTTTGAAGTTCCTCCACTTGCTTAGAGGCAGATTTTTCATTAATCATGGTGAATTCAAAATATTTCAGAGCAGTAAATCTATCAATACCTTATTTGTTAGTATTGTATTTGGTCTCCAAAAATATCTCGAGCATATAAACAGAAACGAAAGTCTCTTTGATACTTATCTGTCAAAATTTCAAGCACTTGATGCAGCCACTGTCTCCATCTTCATGATATTAATACCTTATGATCGTTGGGGAAATTCGATTGCTACTGAAGATAGAGCAGTAGTTTATAATTTTGATACTTTGATGCATGATGACGATCATTGTCCTTAAGGTATTATTTGCCCCCACTATTGTTTCTACTGGGTTTAGAACAAATATACTTCCAGGATATACATCAAAACTATAGAGAAATGAGTTCGGCAATTACTCAATTTCTTTCATGGAATTTCACTTTGAATGTGTTGTGAAGCTTGTGTGTGAAAAGAGAAGAAGAGAGAATGTTGTGAAGAAGAGAGAGTTGTTGTTGTTATCAACAGTTGTGATGAACGATGTATGATTGGTCCTATTTACAGACAACCAATCAGTATATTTCTTTGGAATAGGTACTTTATTCCCACCATCACTACTTTTCATGATTAACGATCACGTCTCTTCACATCAACAATCACCCATTTTCATGTCCAACGATTACCTTTTTTTCATGATAACAAACTATTTCAACAGTTTTTACCAAAATTCATGAAACTCAACTCACCTTCAAAGATCACACCTATGGATTGGATTGGGTTTTTTTTTTTTTTGCCAAATCATTTTACAGTAATTATTACTCAGACTTGCACGTCTTGGTTGAGTTTGGATTTGGGTAAAAATGGTTACCTTTAGGTATCCTCCCGTGAATGGTTTACAAAAATCTTCAATTGATTATCTATCAAAAGAGAGAAATGGACAAAATAAAGAAAAAAAAATAGTAAAAATAGTAAAACCGGACAAACAGAAGTTTTAAGAGTAAACAGAAGTGTAGTTATTGGACACAAGACAGATCCCACGACATTGCTCGTGCAATTTGCGATTAGGCTGGTAGAGGGAAAAAGTACCAAAAAAATCTTAAATTTATTATATTAGTACAAATTCAGTTTTAAATTTTTTAATTGAACCAATCTAATTCTAAACATTTTCACGTTTTGCCAATTGAGTCCCTTCGACCAATTTAGGCCGGAAATTGCTGACTTGGACGTCGGGCGTCCTAAATTTTTAAATATTTTTTGAATTTTTTTATTAAATTTATCTTCTTCTTCTTTTATTTCTTCTCTTTTCCTTCTTTTCTTTTCTCCACAATGGCTGGTGAGGGTCGCTGGAGCTCGCTAGCCACTGGATGAAGGCTGCGAAGCCCTTGCTAGCCTCGCCATGGCCTAGCCAACCGCGAGCGAAGGCGGCCTCACTCGCGGCTGGTGAGGCCACGGTTGCCTTTGCCCATGGCTAGTGAGGCCCTAGCGAGGCTGGCCTTGCCCATGGGCGAAGGCGGCCATGGTGAGGCCTGGCGAGCTCCGGCAACCCTCATCGACTACGGTAGAGAAAAAAAAAAAAGAAGGAAAAGGCAAAGAAAAAATTAATTTAAAAAAATATTTAAAATTTAAAAAATTATCCGCATCGGCGCCAACCATACCACGTAGGATGGCCGGCGTCCACGCCAGTAATTTTCGGCCTAAATTGGCCGGATGGACTCTATTGGCAAAACCTGAAATGGTTTAGGACTATATTGATCCAATTGAAAGGTTTGGACTGAATTGGTACAAATGCAACAGGTTTAGGACTTTTTTTATACTTTTCCCGCTGGCAGAATATGGTGAAATAATCCATGATTTAATTGAATTGTGGCGGCGGATGTACTAGATTTTCCGGGGTATTAAAAAACATGTTCTCATCTATCTTACGTATTTAAAGTTCTTGAAGTTAAACACATATATAGTTAAATGTCAAAATTTGGATAATAAGTAGCAAAAAAGGAAGGATCCATACCTAAAAGCTTGGGGGAGCGGGGTTCTTTAGGATGGGCACGAGGCACCCATTCTTCGTGGACACCACGTTGAATGGGGCAAAGTTCCCCCGCTAAAAAATGCCCCACAAGGCATTAGGCGGGACAATAGTCAAGGCAAGCTGGGGCTAACATTATTGCAACCCATAGCAACCCCGTGTACACTTTCAAGAAAAAATATACGTTTTATTTCTTTTATTTTACTTATAATATTTACTATAAAAAAATATGAAATCATAATAACAATAAACCCTACGAGCAATCACTTCTCCTTGTAAGTCTTGCGTTTAAAGAAGATGCAAGTTTGGTAAGCAATGTGTACAATTGTTTTCCATGTATTTCATCTTCCCAGTGTCCCACATTGAAGGTTGGAGCTTGTTTGGCTCTCATAAAACCAACCCTTGAGGCCACTCTCCTTATATATAATTCACTACATTAGGCTATTCTTTCTTATAAAAAATAATAAAATTAAGAATGTCAAATGGCCATCGAGTGAGTGGATCAGTTCTTTCTAATAGATGAATTAATTCTAAGACGATGCGAGTTTTCATTGCAAGGGGGTTGAAACTAGTTTTAGTGGAATAATTAATTAGTGGATATAAATTGCTATATATATTCTTTCATCTCTAGTTAGATAAAATCTCCTTCAAGCATGCTTTTGATTGGCAGGTCATATATTATACATAGTTATCCACATGCAAAACTAACTATCTACAAACTGGGGTGATGTTCGTGCATAAGCGGTTAAAAGATTTCACTGATTTTTCATACCATTTGTAAATGGAAGGAGCTAAAACAACGGGAGGTGAATGCTTCGTCGTTCTTTTTTGTTTTATAACAAACCTTCTTCATTATAATTAAGGAAAGACATTGGGAGGAGTAATAAAATACGCCGGTAATATGTACTCTCTTTTTTTTTTTTTTGGTCGGATGGTAATATGTACTTAAATTGAGTTCAATTGATTACTTATTCGGTTAATAATGACAAGCGTCAAATTTTAAATATGGACTTTCTTAAGGATTGTTACATGATACATAATATGTATAATCATTTTGTTAAAGAAACAATTTCTATCATTGTTAAGTTGGTAGTTATATTTTGAAAGGTTGACCAGTCATCCAAATTAATGGTAATAGATGCGGATTATGTAAAAGAGGATTAAATGGATTGTGCGTTTGAAATTAATTTCTTTTAGAAACTATGTGGACCATATAAGGATTGCATACTTGAATCATTAATCTATTTACATATATTCTTTGGCAGCGATTATTCTGTGCTTCTTCACAATTGTTGGTGTTTTAGCCTTTCACATGTGGAGGAGGAGAAGCAAAGAGAAAAACTTCAGACGAAATGGAGGAGATCTCTTGAAACACCACAGAGTTGAAATCTTTACAGAGTCAGAGCTGGCAAAAGCAACCAACAACTATGATGAGAGCAATAAGCTCGGTGAGGGCGGTTTTGGTTCCGTCTATAGAGGGAGAGTCGCAGGGGATATCGTGGTTGCGGTCAAGAAGCCTAAAGATATGCACAAATCTCTAATAAATGGGGATTTCCAGCATGAACTTGAAATTGTGATGCAAATAAACCACAAAAATGTGGTGAAGCTCCATGGCATATGTTTGGAGACTAGAATACCATTGCTGGTTTATGAATACATTTCGAATGGTACCCTCTTCCAACACATCCATCAAAATGCGTCAACCATCTTGAGATCATGGAAAAACCGGCTCAAAATAGCCGCCGAAGCAGCTCTTGCACTCGAGTATATGCATTCCTGTGCAGATCCTCCAATCATTCACGGCGACATCAAGTCGGTGAACATACTTTTGGATCAAAATTACTCAGTAAAAGTGTCTGATTTTGGAACTTCAGTGCTTATATCACCAGAGCATAGTCATATTGTAGCCACTGAAATACAAGGCACATTGGGCTACATCGATCCAGAATATTTAACCACCGGTATGTTAACAATTAAGAGTGATGTATACAGCTTTGGAGCTGTCCTCGTGGAGTTGCTCACGGGAAAGAAGCCTACAAGTTTTATTACTAAGTCTGGAGAGTCAATCAATATTATTCATTATTTCATCTCTTCCGTGAAGGATAAGACACTCTCCGATGTCATAAGCTTCAAGGCCACTAGTGAAGATGAAATGGAGAGAGTAGGAATGGTTGCCGATATTGCAGTGAAGTGCTTGGACCAAAGTGGTGCGAGGAGGCCGGCAATGAGGGAAGTGGCTGAGCAACTCGTCAGGATTAACCGCGAGCTCGACAGCTCAACAGTTGAAGAAAACAATGAAGAGACCGAAGGCGAGGTGGATGAAGAAAACCTCTACTCCCATGCGACTTCAACTAATTCCAAGATGAGCCAGCATGGGACGTCGGGCTCTCTTTTCTATACAGCAAGTTCCAGCGTCTGATCTTTTGTTACTATAGGGACATGTCTATTAATTGTCCATGAGGACTTCTAGGGTTGATTGTGTATCCTGAATATATGTAATGTTTGCCATTTGTTCTGAACTTATAGTTGTGCGACCGTTTGTGCAAGTTTAAGTGTCACAATCTAATATTACATATGTATAGCTGTGCACTGAGGTAGACTTATAGATGGCTGATATGTGGCCATTTTGACATTATCATAATTTCTCTTTCCCTTTTTTTTTTCTTCGTTGTCTTTTTTTCCTTGCATATAATAACAGGTCAGAGAAATAATCTACTCACTCCTTTTTATCGTTCATTTTTTCTTATTATAATCCCAATTCACTTTTATGGCGAGTAAAAATTTCCATTAACTTTCAGTTTTTACTTTTCCCTAATTATATTGGAATTAATCTTAATATAATTTTCATTTCCGTGAAAAGATAAAAGAATTGTTGGCCAAAGGATTATGATAGGCCAGATATCTACGTTCACTCTTTCTTCCTTTTTTGTAATTTGATCTTAATTTGATATGATGGAAAAATAAAAATAAAATCTCGATTTGTTTTACTTTCTCTTTATTTCTAATTCATTTAATCAGTTTAGATGTTAAATCGGAGTGAAAGTGGGAAAGGCAAACCGATTCAAAACTCAGAAAATACCACATCTTCCAACCTTGATATTATTACTTATAAATATGATAAAGGGATGGGGAAACACTTTATTATTGAATTCATCAAGAACAAAAAGTTCTTATCCAAACCTATATGAGATGATCACAAGATCAAGAAAGAAGTATCAGGGAATTTACTTGATAATAACTTTATTGTAGAACAAACTCTTTTTATTTTTAGGATGAAAGAACTTAAATTGTTTTGTAAGTTTGGTACTAATAGACTGCGATTAGTAAGTTTGGTACTAATAGACTGCGATGAAAAACACTAGCTGGGAAGGAATATTTAACCTATATTAAAGGCAATAGAAATAAGTAGTACTTTATCATACTTTCTACCTAAACTTTACAAATTAATGGCTTAGACTAAATAAATATTTTAGTCGTTCACTGCAATCGTATATAATATCTCAAACGATATTGTAAAGAGTAGTCTCAAACTATACTTTAAATTGATTTGCAAGTGTAATTTGAGCCTAGCATTATTTTCAGAGTATTCCAAAAAAAAAACATCTCTCGTCTAAAGATTGAAAACGAAAGTATTTCTTGCAATTTACCTTCAAGTAATGCATCTTTGCTTTATTTCTGTGGCTTTCTTACAAACCAAGTCCCCACAATGCCTCGTATTATATTGAAACTGAAGTCAGAATAATGCCCTTGATGGATGATGGAAACGCCTTCCACATGTGGCAAACTCCTCGCATTTGCTCATTCCTAGGATTCAAAAATATTTATTTTTTCATAGTGTTTAAGGTTTTTGATAGCCACATCTAATACCACACGTGGTCCTAGAACAGCAATTAACTGCAACTAAGTGTCACATTGGCAGCACTTTCGTACATTTTTTAAATAGATGGACCAATACGAATTAAAAAACATGTACTTAAAGGACCCAATCAAAGAAAAAACAATCACCGGCTTGATTGGGCGTTGTGTAAAAGTTCTGATCGCAATAGTTACACTTCCATGCCAAAGAATAATCTGAGGAGAAAACACGTGCTGGAGACCCGGTAATCATCATAAAAAAGAATGTAGATTAGGACGCAAATAATAACCACTATGTTCTTGAGAACAATTTATGATAATTTTTTTATTTTTATTTCTTGAATAAGTTTATGAGCAGAGAAATACGTTTGATAACGACACGAAATTTCTATTCTCGAATTAGAAATTCATTTGATAGGCCTTAAAATTTATGAGAGCAGTGGAGGGCGGCGCTCGACAGGTGGGGCAGCCGGCGAAGGGTTGTGACCGGCGGCCAGCGGGGGGCTAGGGGCAAGTGGCGACGGGCGGCGAGGGCAAGCCATTAGAAGAGTTTTTACTTCTATTTTTGTTCCAGAAATATAAAAGTACAAAATTTTCACTTCTCATTTCTGTTCCAAACCTATTTCTCAGCTCAAAATTTGTTCTCAAAATAGAAAAATGAAATTGCGTTACCAAAAGGATTTATGTTCCAAACATGTTTCCGGAAACAGAAAAATAGAGAAACGGAATGGTTATCATTCGCGCCCTTAAAGTGATGGTTCCAGATTTATTTTTTTTTACGTGGGATCAAGTTGAGTGGCTCATTGCACCGCCCCTCTTAAATAACAAAAATTGGCCCAATAAATCCCACCAAGTGGAGTTCTTCTTAAATAACAAAATTTGGCCAAAATGAAAAGGGAAAAAAACAGAACCAAAATTACTCGCAAATATGAAATAATTTTTATTTGATCTAATTCTTGTTTTACATTTTAAGGTGATTTTTCTTTTGCTTTGGTTACGTCAATCTTCTACCACATCTTTAAAGAATCATACTTTCACTCTTTACTCACAATGTTCTAGTGCTAAATATAGCTTTCTAGGGTAAATATTACAAAATCTATGAACTTAACCGTATACGTTCCAAGAAAAAAAAATAGATATTTTGATAAATAACAACTAAAAAATGATATTCAAGTACCATCCACTGGCATATGAGTAAAGTTACTGAGAGACTAGTAAATTATTTTTTCCGTAAAGAGAGACTGACTGGATTTTCAATATGTAGATAAAAGAGCTAAATCGATGGGTACATGATCAGAAAACGTTGAAAGGATCGAAAGTCCACAATTTATATCCTTTGCATACCTAATGTTTACTTTTCTCATTTGTCAATTCTCAAATATTAATATTCGTTGTCTCCATTTAAATACTTTTTTGCTATATTGACCTAAAAATTATGAGATATTAAATCGAACATGTTCGTAAACTAGCGTTTGATGTTCAAAGGATTTGACTAGCGCTTAATATTTGCCGTCGTATCTCAACAGTTGGAAACTAATGCTCCGGTTGCCCATCCTATGTAAAAGAGAATTTGTAAACCTGCTGGCGCTGTTACTACTTGTCTGTAACGGTGCCGTTATGCTAGCCAAGCTCTTATCGTAATTAAGAATATCACATGTTTTGTTTTTGTTTATTGTAGACATCTCATATATATTAAACGGGCCGTGTTCCTTTTTAATTTTAGATTTTACTTATGTAGAAATTAGCATTGTCGAAAAGGGAAATTTATAAGAAACCTAATCCTTTCCAAAGTTCATAAAAATTAATTTTAGATTTTACTCATGTAGAGATGAACATTGAGATCCTTACAATTACGTAAAAAGGATGTACCAACATGAATACATTTATCACTTTACACTCCTAATCCTTTCTGCCGTGTGTGTGTGTGTGTGTTTTTTTTTTTTTTGAAAATATGAATACGTGTATACATGATAATGACGTGGCATGTGTATGGCGATGAAGTGACGAATATGCATGAGTCCTATATGAGCTGTGCATGCATGCACAATTGGTTATAACTATTTATTTAATGATGTGTGATAATAGATGCTTTAAAAATAACGAAATCAAGTTATATTTCTCCTATTACCTTCCATGGTTTGACTTATTAACTTTAAGGATCCGTTTATTTCATGAAAAATAAATAATTTGAAAAATATTTTTGTAAAAATGATCGATTGTATCGCTTGAAATAATTAATCGATGAAAAATATTTTCGTTATCAACAACAATTTATGTCCAAACATTTTTGTGGAAGATAAATATATTTTTGGTTTATTCATTTTTTTGAATGATATAAGTGAACTTTTTAAGAAAATATTTTCCAAATCATTCATTTTCCGCGAAACAAATATACCTAAGAAACAAATGATCTCTAGTGCATATGAACTAATATATTTCTCCTTTTACCTTCCACAAATCATTGTTTCCAAATTTGGAACGATAGCTCAAACTTCAAGTATAGACATTAGTTCAAAATATCTAAATGAACTTCGACAAAACAATGTTTTTTTTTTTGGTAAGGTAAGTATTATATTGACTTTTCAACACACAAATTACAAGGGAGTAGCCGAACACAAAAACCTCGAACCTGAGAAGACAAAAGATGTCCCGACAGGTGCAAAGGTGTTGCGACTAAGGGAGAAGCACCAAGAGTGCACTAAGCGGCAAGGACAGCCATCCCGCAAAAAGAAAGGAAAAACAGCTATACAAGGGTCACATAAAGATGGACGCCGCAATACCCCAATTGACCTGCAGTGTTCTGTTCCGAGGATTGTCTTCCACCGTTTTGAGGGAGAGCCCTTTGTCCCCAACAGCCTTTAGAAGGTGAGTACGCATAGCAGTCAAAAAAACTGGCCGGTTCCTAAAAAGAACGTGGTTCCTTTCTGTCCAAATAAGATGGCAAAGGGTCGCAAAGGAAAACCGAGTAATACGCTGATGAAAGGATTGTCCAGTAGTGACCCGAGCAACCCAACGAAAATTTTCTTGGCAGGAGCCATTGCGCCAATAAAGGTTACAATTAGACGCCCAAAAAAGAGCAAGGGATCGAGAGATACCGCAGCCGAAAAAAAAGATGATCAATAGAGTCCGGGCCACAACGACAGAACGCACAGGCCCCTACGGAAATTCTGCGGTAGCTTAAGAGAAGTTCCTGAGTGGGAAGCCTCTTGAGGGAGATAATCCAAAGCAAAAAGGCGTGTCTAGGCGCTGTATGATGATCCCAAACAAAGGAATGCCAGGCGACTGGGGGGCCTCTAATACGAATAAAATCCCAAGCTGAGGAAGTGGAGAACGTACCCGAGGGATCCCCTTGCCAAGTAAACCGGTCATCACCCTCCGCCAGCAATGGAGCATCATCCGGCCAGGAATGGAATGTATCCAGCACAAATGACTGATGCCAAACAGAAGAGAAAAAATCTTTGACTGAGGCGTCCCTTGGGATTCCGGATCTATATATGTCCCTATCAGAGAACAACTTATATAGGGGCCCATTGGAATGCCAAAAATCATACCAGAAGGAAATGGAGGCACCATCTCCAATTTTCCATTTGAAAGTTTGCTGAAAGTCGAGGCAAAGGTCTAGAATTTTCTTCCATGTCCACGAACAGACAGTCGGCTTGGTGGATACCCAGAAATTTTTATTCTTCAAAAAGGTAGAATGGATCCATTTACACCAGAGAGACTCTCTATCAGTAAAGAGTAGCCATATATGTTTGAGCATGAATGCTGTGTTGCAGTCGGCTATTCTTCTAATTCCCAAAC